CGTTGATTTCAAAGTTACATTTTACTACCTACAATCATCGTAGAGAGGTCATACAGGGCTCATTTTTTTCGTTTTGACGTCTACTTTTTAATGAAATAATAAAACAATACAGCTTCCATTTAAAAACATGTCTAAAAATTGAAAAATATAAAAAAATCATTTTGCAACAACGAATTTTTTGGTTATTGTTAATAATTAGTTTTAATAAAAAAAAAACAAAAACTAATAAGACCATTGAATTGTACGGGAAAAAACACGAAGGAACATATATTTTCCTATTTAAATACATTTTTTATTTTTGTACAATACTGCTATAAACATTGTAATAGCATATTCCGTGTAGTTGAAAGATGTCAGGTAAGTACATACAATGCGATCGACTTTTACTTTAACAAGAAAAGTTCCTCATTTCTCGCGATGAAATTAATTAATTCAATTGTTGCTCTTCTGCATTGTTTTACTGGATGTGATACAACATCCGCTTTTGCTGGCAAAGGAAAAACAACAAGTTTTAATTCGTTGATTAATGCTCCTGAGTTAAAAGAATTAGCACTGCCCTTTTATCAAAGTAATGCAGATCCCAAAGTCATTGCTCGAAATGGTTGTAAACTGATTGCATCGATTTATCAATCAAAAAAATCTAAAATACCACTGGATGATTTAAGATTTACACAGTTTAAATTATTAACTGCAAAGTCGACTTTTAAATTCGAAAAATTACCCCCTTCTGTTGGAGCAGCAATTCAACACTCGTACAGAGTATACTTCCAACTACAAATGTGGCTTGGACATACATTACAAGCAACGAAATGGGGCTGGAAACAAGTGATTGTAAATAATACAAAACTACTTATGCCACATTATACAGATGACTCACTTATTCCAGATGAGATACTTAAGATAATTTGTTGCAGTTGTGAGACTGGATGTGAGGGCAATAGATGCGGTTGCAGAAAGCATGAGTTGCGATGCACAGAGTTATGCACAAAATGCCATGGTTCTGAAAGTTGTTCAAACGTTGAAAAAGTTTCAAAAGATTTAAGTGATTTTGATGAAATTTCTGATAATCCTGATGAAATTGAACAACCATTTCACATCTTCAACTCAGAAAATCTTGCTATGGAAAAGTTTCCAGAGGAATTTGATGAAGAAATGATTGAAGATAATGAGGAAGTCACATATTTCGACGAACAATTAATCGATGATGATCAGCCAAACTTACAATTAGCGAAAAGACAAAAATTGGTTTAGTGTGCATAATGTATTCATTATTAAATATGTAATAAATCGCATAATAAATGTATAATATTTATGTATATAAAGTGTAAATGTATGATATTTATCAGTACTTGAGCGTATTTCATTAAAAAATCAACTTGATTAAAATTGAGTTTTTCATTATTGTCATTTACCTCCATTATTTTTTTATTATTATTATTAGTAATAGTATTGTTAACAATCTATTTTGTTGATATAAATTTCAATTATAAATTCGGTGCAAGTTAAATTAGATTCAGAATTCATTTTAAAAAAATCATTCAATTATTTAAAAGCATGTTTTAAATAATTGTATACAAAAGTTAATTATAAGACGATTTATTTATCAAAATATGTAGAAAATAATTGAATAAATTAATTTCATCGCGAGAAATGAGGAACTTTTCTTATTAAAGTAAAAGTCGATCGCATTGTATGTACTTACCTGACATCTTTCAACTACACGGAATATGCTATTACAATGTTTATAGCAGTATTGTACAAAAATAAAAAATGTATTTAAATAGGAAAACATATGTTTCTTCGTGTTTTTTCCCGTACAATTCAATGGTCTTATTAGTTTGTGATTTTTTTTTATTTATAACAAATTATTATTAACAATAATCAAAAAAATTGTTTTTGGAATTTTTTTTTTTTTATATTTTTCAATTTTTAGACATGTTTTTAAATGAAAGCGGTATTGTTTTATTATTTCATTAACAAGTAGACGTCAAAACGAAAAAAATGAGCCCTGTATGACCTCTCTACGATGATTGTAAGTAGTAAAATGTAACTTTGAAAACAACGTGTCTCGGACCGAAATAAATGAATTTTTCAAACAGGTTTTAATATTTCAATCTAAAATTTTGTTTTTGTTGTTTGGGACACAAAAAGGAGTACTTTCAGCAAGTTTGGTTTAAAAATATTTATTTTTGAGAAATTGACAAGTAAAAAACAAAAAACCAATTTTTTTTTTATTTATTGCATTTTTTTCTGAAATTTTGGGGTTATATTAAAAAATGACCCATCCAAAAGTTGTAGATTTTTCCAAGATCTACAACTTTTGTATTTAACATTTTTCAGTGGGACATCAAATTTCGTGTGAAATTGCAAAAAACACGAGATGTATCCATTTTCACCCCTTTTCAACCCCTAAAATCATCCCCTAACTTTCTTGGGCACATAACACATTTTCCTTATGTTGACTTTAACCCTTTTAACCATTTGAAAACGTATGTATCTGGATAACATTTTTCTTTTTTTATCGCTGTAAATGAGTCAATTTGCCTGGACTATAAGGTTTTATTCAAATGCATTGAAAAAACTTTAGTTTCATAGGCGACAGTGGAGAAGAAAATTTATACTTAACCCAAAAAAGTAAAATAAAACAATAGTTAAGCATGAAATGTCATTTATTAAAGGTTTTCACACAACTTTTTCTTATTCTACAGTTCATGCTCAACATGGCCGCCTCTATTTCTGATACATTGTCGCATCCTTCTACGGAGACCAGTCTTCACTACTCCAGTGGTCAACGTGGTCCTCATTTAATTTGCTGCATCCACAATCCTTTCTCGTAAGTCTTTCACAGACGAAACTGGATTCGGCTCGCTGTACACAAGACTTTTCATGCACCCCCACACATGAAAATCCATGGGGGTTAGGTCCGGACTTCTTGCTGGCCATGGCAATGGCCCACCTCGTCCTATCCATTTGTTTGGATAATTTGTGTCCAGCCAGTCCCTGACACTTCTCCTGAAATGGGCAGGGCAGTCATCGTGTTGGAACCACATGTCCCTGATCAGGTTGAGTGGCAGATCATCCAGCAAATCACTCAAGTCTGCTCTCAGGAAATTTTCGTAGCTTTCCCCATTTAGATTATCCGGGAGAAAGTAAGGTCCAATCAAATGATTGGAGATAATGCCCATCCACACATTCACGCTGAATCTTCGTTGGGACCCCTTCACTCTTTTCTTATTGGGATTCCTTAGTTCTTTTGGGGCCCAGTAATGGGCGTTGTGATAGTTAGTTATGCCATCTTTATCAAATTTGGACTCATCCGTCCACAAGATATTTCTTAGAAAATCTGGGTCTTCTACGTCAGCATTTAGCATAAATCTGCAAAAGTCCAATCTTCTCGCGGGGTCTCCTTCTTCAATAACGTGTACCGGCGTGTAATGGTACGGGTATAGGCCAGCAGTATGCACTGTAAACCACACTCTCCATTACGAAAGTCCCAGATCACGGGCAACAATATTAGTGGAAGTAGTCGGATCCGCTCGAAAGCGTTGCACTATCTCATTGTCCTGTTCTTCGTCGTCAATTCGTGGTCTTCCCATGTCTGTATTTCGTCTCAAAACAGAGCCAGTTTCTCGAAGTCTTCGATAAACTCTGTCAAAAACGGCCACATCCGGCACTCGACGACCAGGGTAGCGAGTTATGTATTCGTTGCGAGCTTGCGCAGACACACAATCGCAGTATCCGTAACAAATAAGCATATCAGCATATTCCTCAGGTGTGTAGGACGTCATCTTCAACACTTCCGTATCACAAGTACAAATCAGAGTCCGGTTAACAAGCACAGTAGCCACAAATCAGAAGAAATAGTCCAGAATCACAGCCAAGTCGAGAAAAAGAGCAAAACGATATCACATCTACTATGTACGAAGCACAAAAGCAGACTGACAACTAGTGACAACCAAACAATGCCCCCTGTTGTATTCCCAGCCCTAACCGGTCTCTACACATTTTTTCTTTCATTCGCACCTACATAAATCGTCACTTGTCTCGCTCGCTTGGTGCGTCTTAACTTGAAGGACAATAGGCGCGGGACCGTTAGAACTGTTACCTGGAGCGTCCCAACTACTTTTTTTCCACGAAATGTAATACAAACCCTAGATTGTTATACCTCGTTAGATAGCTGATGAAACGTAGATATTTTAAAAAACATCTGCCGAACAATTACCATAATATTGTTTTTAGATATCCTATATATATATATATATTTTTTTTTTATTTCTTTACTTTCACTTGTCTACTACGATCTATTCAATTAACTTATGAACTATTTTAATGACTGACGTCCTAAAACATCTTATTACACATGTAAAAATGCAAAAATAATAATAAGATACACAAAATAAACAAAAATAAATGTAGTAGCCTAAAAATCAGCAAATTTCAATAAAAAAATTAAAAGACGATTATCTCGAAAAGGGTTAAGTTTAGGGTAGGGTGTTTCATAGTGAAATATGTCAGAAATGATGGGTACTCCACGCCCTTAACGGATCTAGCACGACTTTTCTTGTAACCCTGTATAAAGACGGTAAAATTAAGGTATCGTGCCTTACAAAGTACGGTTTACAGCTATCTCTACTATTTAAACTAAACATGGCTAGAATACATCTTTTTTGGGCTTCAATTTCTTTATTAAAACTATATTTTTGTGTGTGGAGTTGCATCAGAACATTATTCCATATCTTAAATATTTATGGGAAGTTAGTTGATTTTCTTGCAACACTGATTAATTATGTCATTCAACAGGTGATTTTCCGTCAATTCCGTCAGCTAGGCCAGTGTTTGTTATCGTTATGTCAGAACCTGATATGCAATTAAAGGATTTATTATTGTTCACACGTTGCTAAGGTGCGGCGGCGGGGGTCTGTATAGGCCTAGTTGATGCATAGTCTGGCAAGTGGACTGGTAGTCAAGACACGTTCTGGGGCATAGGTTAAAAGTTTATAATGTCTTCGGCAAAGGATAAAACTTCTGATACCGGAGCGGTGACCCTGCGCCCGGCCACGCGCGGCGATATGAGATACGTTCTGGACATGATACAGGTGAGTTATAATTATACAAACGTCGTCAGATGAGGTGTTTAGTAAATTTACTAGGTACATTAATACATTTATTTCGGTAAAAGCTACACCAAATATAATACATTAAAAATGTTTTTTCTTATAATTTTCTACCATACCTAATATCGTAAAGAAACACTTTTAATAGCATTTTTTGTTGGTTTTACCAACAAAAAATGCTATTAAAAGTGTTTCTTTACGATGGTGATAAACCATGGAAGCTGGCAAAGAGTTCAAAGTGGCAAAGAGTCAAAGGAAATTCCTTAAGACTATTCTGATTTTAAAGTGTGATATGTGTACCTTGCCTTGCCCATGATGTCCAAGGTAGTGATAGAGGTTATTTGTCAAATAGTTTTTTTAACAATAAAATAAAAAAATATCTTATTGCCTATAAAAATCATGACGGTACAAATGTATTTTTAGGTTCTATCTGGTAACACTGAAGGGTGTAAATTGATTTGTTGAGTGTTCTTTCATATGTGGTTGACAGGAACTAGCAGAGTATGAAGGTGTCCCGGATGGCCCGCAGATCACTGTGGACGGTGAGACTGCATGACCAGTCATGTTGCTTCTCTGATTTAATAAAATATTGCTTAACATACTGTGTAACCTCTGCTTATACAACATTATTTGCCTAAAGAGTCATTGTTCTATGTAGGGGATTGTCATTCATCAACAGCCTTTAATCATCAACAGCCTTTAATAGTCCACTGCTGGACATAAGCCTCTCCTGAGAAAGGAGGTTTTGGCCTACTATACCACGCCTATACCACCTGGCCAGACGGGTTGGTAAAGGCTTTGTGTCAAGTTTTCCTTCTCTCTGCAGTGCTGTAGTCCTGCTTAGTTTTTGTCATTGAGTGATTGTCATTGAGTGATGCTTACTAACTGAAGGCATTTCTCTAAGGTAGTCTCTGGGTAAGTTAGCGCAATAATTAACGGCTACTAACTTAAATTGACTGCTTTTTTAGGTACAGAGGCAAAGAGAACCTTTATAGGATCACTTTGTTGCCCAATTTAGCTTCATTTTGTAAAAGTCGATTTTTCTGAACATTTCATTAATTGTAATGCCTGCAATATAAGTGAAGATATGCCTGTGAATCATTATTTATACTGACTGTTAAGTTTAAAGGATTTTGGTGATCATAATTAAAGTTTTAATGCAAACTTTTAGATTGATATAGTCATAGCTAAATCGATGGAAATTTGATTCTTTGTGACCCTAAATATATTTATTTATTCGTGTCTGTCCGTCCGGTGACGGATTAAGATTACGGAGTGCCCCCTATTCATCCCGTGGGTGTCATAATAGCCGACTAATCAGCAAACTAAGCAGGACAGCAGCACTGCAAAGAGAAGATAAACTTGACACAAACCCTATATCTGCCCGTCTGGCCCGTGTCGTAAAGTAGGTATTAGGCCTAGGCCTACTTTATCGAAATTACTAGTATTTCCGTTAACCCCTCCCACTAAGCATAATTGCTTGTGTTAGGAGCAGTTTCTTGTTGGTAGTTTACTGGTCAGGATTCGAACCCACTACCTCTTGATTGCAAGTCCAATGCCTTAACCGCTAGACTACTGCAGCTTTAAATTTTGACATCGAGAAGTCAAAAATCATGTCGAATGTTCATGTTGTACTATAACGGATGTTATAGTTAAGAACTCCATTTTGGAAATTCTTGTTTGGAAAACTTGGAACCATATTTTCATTCAAATTCCTTAGAGCATAAAAACAGATTTTCGTTCATTGTGTATTTTCAGTTATCAGTAATAAATGTGGTGTCCAACTGTAGTCTCGATGAATAGACTCCAGATTCGCTTAACGAATCGAATCCGAAATGAGGACATCTGCAGATGAACAAAGATTACTGATATAACTCAACGGAACGCAAGTTGTTTGTGGCGGCGCGCGACTGACCTAATACCCTAGGTTTACCGTTTATATTGTTTATCGGAATAACATACACAAAGGTCTAGTACATCTTCATATTTGTTTGCTTACTTGACTTCTTGTCAATAACATGTTAACTAATTTACTAGATTAAAAATAATTTATTTTTAAAACAAAGCCGGTTTGTAGTGTAGTAGTATTTCTGTTCCACATTATACTACAGGTCTTCAAGTCGTTTATTTAATAAGTGAACCGTGTCTACTTGCAAGACGCGAATGTTAGGCCGCTGAGTCAAGGAACAGCGCTTCGAGAACCACTTAGCGCAAATAGACGGCAGCAGGCATAGCATGTCTGTGTTGTTGTGTAAAACCTATAAGTTAAGCTTTATTCTTTAATTTTACTCATGTTTGAAATTTAAAATTGTTAACAATAACTAGTGTTTATCTGCACAGTAAGTATAATACAAATTACAATTGCCCTATGTCTGAGTTAGACTCCCCACAGGAAGTAGTAGCGCCGGTCGCCTTTTTGTTTATGAGCACATACATAAAACTATCCTATTTGTTTCGGCGTCAGATCTCGTTCGCGATGGGTTCGACTCATCGTCACCGTGGTTCTTCGGGCTGATTGCGGAGCTCGATGGCGCAGTTGTAGGGCACGCGTTTTGCAACCGCGCCTACTCGAGTTGGACGTGCCGCGCGTATTATCTCGAAGACTTGTACGTGCGGCCGCACGCTCGGCGACACCGCATCGGCCAGCGCTTGATGCAAGAGCTCTGCCGGGTACAGTACAGCAAAGAGGGCGGGTACGCGTGATCTTGTGTCTATTTCTAATGTGTGGCCATGTTCCAGATGGCCGTGCGCGACAAAGTGACCCGCATTGACTGGCACGTGTTGGCAGACAATGCGCCGGCGCTTGGATTCTACGCGAAGTTGGGCGCGAGGGACATGCGCGTGAGCGAGGGGCGCACCGCCATGCGTCTCGATGAACCCTTTATCAAGCAACTGAGTATCGAGCACTGAACAACTATGATCTTTTAAATAAACGTTGGACGTGTGTTACCTTCTATTGTTCAATAACCTAATTCAATTCAGTTTCCTTCAGAGAAGGTTCGTTAGTTATGTGTAGCACATGGTTATAATGCAGCTAGAATGTGATATACACTGTAAGTTGTAAACACGTAGTTAATACTTGTGGGTCCTGTTCGGATGTCTGATCGCAAACTAGGCAGAGCCTGTGCTATGGTAACCAGACTGCAGATAAACATACTTATATATTTCTAAATACATACATATTATAGATAAATTACACCCAGAAACAGAACAAACGATCGTGCTCATCACACAAAAATTTGTTCTGGGTGGGAATCGAACCCACGACCTCCGGTTTAGCAGTCAGGGTCACTAACCACTAGACCAACAGGCTCGAATATAATATTGAAATAAGGGTATTATACAGTTGACGACTATGTAAATATCTTAAAAAAAAAGGCAATTACTCAGCTAGCTACTACAACAGCTAGGTGTTTATCACTTACTTCTTTAATAACCTATCTCTACATTGATATAAGGTGTCAAGGATCGCCGTGCTCTCTCAAGTGTCATTGCTATGGTTTGTTATGAATCGATGCATGTATGTACTTTTTGTTTTATTGGAACGAAGTTCCTTATCGCGCGTTGTGAAAGGGGGCTAGACGGAAAAAAATCATACAAAAATTTGGGACGCGACACTTTTTTATTAATATAAATTGACGTCTCACTGTGGATACCATACATTAAATTTGCTTTAACGTTCGCCAACGTCCATACCATGTTGAATACACCGGTTCTCGTCCGATCACCGAAGTTAAGCAACATCGGGCGTGGTTAGTACTTGGATGGGTGACCGCCTGGGAATACCACGTGATGTTGGCTTTTTGCTCTTTATTTAATTTTTTACCGCAGGTTTTTTTTTTTTTTGGTGTATTTCGTATTTTGTTTTCGTATTTTATTTTTCTTTGAATTTGAATGTGAATGTGAGTATAGTGTAGGCTTGTAATGTTAATTCATATTTTATTATCTTTCTGGTGGTTTTGAGTGTTTCCACGGCCTACCCAAATGTCAACATTATATTTTTTTTCTTGAAATTTTGAATTTAGGAAATAAAACTAAGTAAATATATTTCAAAACACTTTAATGATCAAAAGAAGTTGATGCTATGTACACTATTACCCAGATTTCAGTCAAAGTTTTTTTTAAATTAAAGTAAATCTTATTATAACATACAACGTAAGCCATGAATTTGATGAAAGTATGAACTATGATTAGTAATAATATTTTTTCGTGTCATCTTGTCAGACATTCAGCGCCATCTATCGAATAGATAGGAAATCATTTCGCTAGGAGATTTTACCAATGTATAAATTGTTTTAATTGTTTTTAACATGTAGGTAATAGCCGCTTTCATAGATGGCGTTGTAATTAATATCGTGTCAAATCAGTTTTAACTTTAAACAACTTCGTTCCTATCGGGTGTCCCACGACACCACACGGCTTTATTTTTTATCATTTATAGACACATTATTTTCAATTTTTTTTAGCTATCACTATTTACTTGTTATTTTTTTAAAATAATCTTTTAAATTTTTAATTGTTAAAATAAAGTACACAAGTGGTCTAAAAAGTTTCCTACTTCAACACGAAGATGACAACACTCGCGAATAAAAGCTTGTGAATGTCGTTGTTCATCTGTTGACAGTTACTCGCCAAAGTTTCAGCCATTTTGGACGCGCAGTTGTTATGTAACAGTCGTTTGAGTGAGTTGATGTGACTGTTTTTATGAAAATGGACATTATTGAGTATCGAGCTGTCATTAAATATTTGTTTTTTAAAGGCAATAGGAAATCAAAGATGAGTTGGATTCTGTGTATGGGGACTCTGCACCATCATTTGCCACAGTGAAATTTTAGGCAGCTGAATTTAAACGTGGCTGTAAGAGCTTGGGAGACGATGAACGTTCGGGGCATCCAAAAACTGCAACTACCGACGAAAACATCGCCAAAGTTCACCAAATGGTGCTAGACGACAATCGAATTAAAGTGAGAGAGATAGCAGAGGATATGAACATGTCAAACGAACGTGTTTGTCACATATTAAATCAACATTTAGACACGAGAAAACTGTCCTCGCGTTGGGTGCCCGCGTTTGCTCACGTTGGACCAAAAACGTGTTCGATGTTCAATGAAACTTGGATACACCATTATACGCCTGAAACAAAAATACATTCCAAACAGTGGACTGCAAAGGGGGAACCGGCTCCAAAAAAGGCAAAAACTGTTTTTTCGGTTGGAAAAGTTAAGTTAAGTTATTTTAATCGATTATCTCCAAAAAGGAAAAGCCATTACAGGAGCATACTACGCATCATTACTTGACAAGCTGAAGGCAGAATTTGCGGAAAAGCAACATTTGCAGAAAAGAAACATTTGCAGAAAAAGAAAATCCTGTTTCACCAAGACAATGCACCGTCTCACACCTCAGCGGTTGCCGTGGTGAAAATCCACGAATTACGGTTTGAACTGCTTGCCCATCCGCCTTACTCACCAGATCTAGCCCCAAGCGTAAATTGCGCTCGGAAGACAGAGATTTTCGTCAAATGAAGAGGCAATCACCTTCGTGAACAATTATTTTGCAGAGAAAAACGCCGAGTACTATTTGGACGGGTTACAGAGACTGGATCATCGCTGGGAGAAGGGTGTAGAGTTACAAGGAGACTACGTTGAAAAATTAAAAAAAAAACTAAAAAAAGGTCTTGTATCTTTGTTAGGTCCGAAACTTTTCAGACCACCCTTGTATTTTGACTGTTGAAAATATTTAAAAACAAAGTATATTAATTACTACTTGTAATCCATTTTAATATAAAAATATTGTAGAGACACCTCCGAAAAGTTTAATCAATTCCTAGCATTGTTTACGGGGATTCTCAAACATCGAAAGAGGTTGTAGTGGCGCCACATAATACATTGGAGTAAAATACAATGTAATTCAAGGTGGTTACAGTTCATAATAGTTTGTGCCTTACACATTTCACCGTTGTTTTGCAGGTGTGTGTGAATCTTATATCTATTTGTTTTTATTTTGTGTATGTGTAAGATGTGGCGACACCGGTTCTCGAAGTAATCGAACGCTAATTCATTTCTAGTGTCTTATTATTACTATTTTAATGGTGTAACCTGGTTTTTATCATTTTAAATAATAAACATATAGCAATGTGCGAGTAACTGGTTATATTTCTCTTTATGTATTAAGTATATATTAATAATTTTATATAATTATTCATTAAGGGCTAAACACATATTTTTTTCGGGAATTTCAACGGAGATTTTAATGTTTGCTGAAGTGAATTTAACTGAAGATATATGCTTTCGGAACAAACTTCCAAGCAACTGCAGAATAATAATAGCACTGTCTGACCAGAAATGGCTCGTGATGACCTGCATAATAATATCTTAATAGTCTTGTCTGGTATTAGTCATTAGGATTATAAATTTAATCAGGTGTCGAAGGAAATCATCCAATTTTTGAAATAATTTATTTTATATTGTAGCTATCATTACATATAATATTGTATTTTTTCTACTGCATTCATAAAATGTCTAATTTTGCCTTTAAATAGACATTGTTGTACTAAATAATTTACGTTCATAAAAATGAATCCTATTTCCCTTGGTAACGCTACTTTGTAGAAGGTTCTTATTGCATGAAAAATTTAGGAAATTGTAGGTACAGCAAATTGGAAAATTTTAGAAATAGAACAAAAACTATTTCCTGCGGGCGGAGCTGCGGGCAACAGCTAGTGTAACTATAATTTAGCTAATCCCAAACCCTACATCAGATCATATAATGAATTTGTCACGTTGTATTTCTTATATGGTAATAAACATTTTTTATTTTATTTTTATTTTTTATTTCAATTGCATACTCGTACAAGTGATTCTAATTCAAATTACAAAATAAATCATTATAATTGTATACTTATAAGAAAAATACCACCTATTAATATACATACGCAAATAAAATTTATTAAAAAAAGGATGTGCATAGAAACGGTGTTAAGAGTAGGAATGATATATTTCTGTTAAAATCACGAACAAATTATGGAAAAAGATGTATTATGTATTAAGGTGCTAAAATCCATAATCAACTGCTTAATGTGGTAAAAGATGCGAAAAATATGCAAACTTTCAATAAATTATTAAAGTATCACATCATTGATAAATAATACAAGCATCAATACACTTTTTATAAATCATAATGTTTATCTATTAACAGATAATAATTTTCATAGCGCAAAATATGTAAAAGTAAATTGTAGTGTGTACGAACCGTTTTGTCACTTCTAGGCGCGCTCGATCCCTGTAGTAAATGCAAACGTGGTTGAACAAATGTTTGGAATGCATAATGTTTTGAAGTTACCCTCACTATATTTGTGTAAGAAATTGTTTGTTGTTATTTTGTTTCAATTACATTTTTTTTCTGTATCACAGCTAAATCCATGAAACTGTAATTTGTTTTTCTCATGTAAGTGAAAAGTCAATGTTTTTCTTTGTCAGAAATAAATGGTTCTAAACCTGATTATGAGATACTGCAAGTTAAATATCGACGACCGGATGGTGCAGTTGCTTGTGTAAACGACTGCTATTCCAATGGTGGCGGGTTCTATTCTCGCTTAAGTCAAACATTTGTGTGCATGAATATTAAATGTTTGATTTGGTCTGGGTGTTTCTATGTAAAATATGTTAAAAAAGTATATTATATGTATTTATATCGGTTGTCTAGTACCCATAGTACAAGCTTTGCTTAGTTTGGGTGTAGATGGCGTTGTGTGAATGTGGTAGAATATTAATATAATAGTATGTACTTTAATGAAGTGTGTCCACGAGTGTATTTAGGTGACGATCTTGGATATATCTACTGTATGTATGAGACGATACTTACACTTTATCATTTCATTTCACCCACGTTAACCAATTCTTTCCTTGCTATTC